CAGAGGACGTCCAGGATCAACCTTGCCCGAGCCCCCCCCCGAGCCTCCCAGGGCAGCCCCCCTGGGCCGCCGAAGCCTTTATTCTCTTGCACAGCTGTGCTCTAGAGCTCGGGCATCTTTATTTTCGTCGTGGTTCGTTCGTCCCCCTGGGTCCCTCCCCTTGAGACCCAGCTCCTCTGGCCCCCCCCCGTGGGAGCCTTTGGGAACCCCCCCTCCGTCAAGGCTTCCTAAGGCAGCCCCCCTGGGCCACGGAACCGTTTATTCTCTTGCAAAGCTGTGTTCTGGAGTTCGAACCCATTTATTTTCGTCGTTGTGGTTCGTCCACCTGAGCCCCCTCTGGCTCCCCTGGGCCGCGGCCCCCCCTCCCCCGAGCCTCCCGGGATTGCTCCCCCCCCCCTGCGGCGGCGCCGCGGGGGCGACCGCCGGCGGAGAGCCGCGCGGCGTGGCGCCGCCGACGACTGTCGTCGTCGTCTTCGTCGTTGTTGTCCTCGTCATCGTCGTCCTCCTCCTCCTCCACTTTCTTCCTGGTTCTTCGTAAACTCGTCCTGAAAGACGAAAAGGAGGGCCTCCTGTCCTTCGCAGCTCCTTGATGCAAGAGCCAGGGCACGCGTGCCACTTGTTCAGGAATCGCGCTCTGGCTTGCTTTGGTGAGCGCGAAGAAGTAATTAGTTATAAATGGTTATAGCGATGCTATGTTAGAATCCTATAGGAGGTGTTAGGATAGGTTAGGATGCTATTTCAGATAGGTTAGGGTTCTATAGGGTGGCCATTAGTATTAGTGACGACGACTCGGGGAATTTCTTTTCCTATAGGGGATACAGGGCCCTATCATCAGCGAAAGTTGCGAAGCCTAAAACTGCATATTTGTTCTACTTTTCATTTTTTCATATAAAAACAACCATTTGTCATGTTTTCACTATTTCTCAATATGTTTCGCTATTGTTTTGCTATTTTTACTATCGTTCAGTATTTGTCGCTATGTTATTTTATGTTTTCACGATTGTTTATTATTTTTTGTTTCCAGCATTTGCTCATTATTTACTATTTTTTCAAAACAAAAGCGTTCGCCGCCGACAGAACGTTGCTTCCAAGAGAAACGAGGAGGTGTTCGTCCACCTCCTCATATCCTCATGTTCCTCCTCACTTTCTACAGCGGCCAGACCGCTTGGCATATCATTGTGTGTTTTATTCGGCTCTCCGCTCCCCCGTTTGCGGCCAGACCGCAAATTGCCATGCCATAGTATCATTAGCGACTTTTTTGCCTTCCCCCCTCCCCTTCTACAGCGGCCAGACCATATCCTCTGTTCCTCTCACTTTCTACAGCGGCCAACCGCTTGGCATATCATTTTTCAGGCGGCCCCAGACCGCTTGGCATATCAATAGTAATTATTAGTCCAGCTCTCCTTCCCCATTCGACAGCGCCAGGGCCGCTTTGCATATGCATTTATCCTTCTTACGAAATATCTGAAGGGCGATGGCAATGCGCAAAGCGGTTTGACCGCTTCGCCCGTGCGCAACATCTTTGTGCGTAGCATCGGCTTGTGGCCCGCCCGCCTGTTGCTTGCGTGGAGAGGGGTGATGGGGGGGAGAAGGAGGAGGAGCAGCAGGAGCGGCCCCTCGCATCAGCGGTCTGACCGCTTTACAATCTCTTTCGACGCGCCGCGCCAACGCGCCGCAGCCGCGACGACGGTTCGAGCGCCGGCCAGTCCCGCGGCGGCGGCGGCGCGCGCGGGATGGACTCCGCAGGTGCCCTGCGGCGCATCGCCGCAGTCGGTTCAATCCTGGCTCTGACCGTCGACCAGCTGCAGCTCGCCGCGGCGTCGCGCTCGCAGTCGGGGCAGTTCATTCGGGAGCTCAAGAAGGCGAGGTTGCCCCCAGAGGAGCTTCAGCCGAGTCTGGGTGCGATCGCGGAGCTTTCTCGAATGCGATAAGGCGAGCATCAACACCGCCATTTCGCAGCTGGTTGCTGCCGGTGGCGATCATTGCATGGCCATCGCGAACTACCAGGAGTGGGAGACGCCCATCAAGTTCTTGCCGCAGCCAGTGTGGGATTCACTTCCGTCAGGAAATCCGAACATACTGTTCGACTTTCTGATTGACCTGGGCTGCGCAAAGCTTCGGAGCCGACGCGGCACGTGATGGCCTGCCTGCTCATGCAAGCAGGGAGAGGGCTTGACGGCGCTCTTCATGTCGAAACGGGCACAAGGACAGAGTCGGTGTTGGCCGTCGGCACGCTGTTCGCACAGAGGGCAGCTCAGCAGCCGTTCCCAGTTCCTGTCATCATGAAATTGCCGACGGCGCCGATGATTCTTCAGACCAAGCATCCCGCCCTGTACATGCGGGCATGCAGTTTGCAGCCGCCGAACCGCTTCGATCTCGACCCCATCCAATGGACCGTCCTCAAGAAGGCCACGAAGATGCGCCATCGCGCAGGTCGGGCTGCAGTCGTGGACGCCCCGAAGAGCAGCGGAGCGCAGTGGGTTCCCTCGAGGCAGGTGGC